GAGGGGCCGCCCGCGTGGGGTCGGCCGCGGCCGGGTTGGAGTTGGCGTGCGACGTGAGGAAGCCGCGAAATTGTCCCGCCAGTCGGGCCGGGGACGCGGGCGGGCTACCGGCCCTGGCTTCTCCTCACCCCCGACCCCACGTCCCCCGCGCCCTCCTCAGGGCACTTGTCCCTATAAAATGCCCACTCAGGCCTGCCTGAGGCGTCCCAGCCCCCTTCTCGGGAAGCCCCCAGGTAATTTTCTTTGGGCGGCCTGCGAAACGGGGGACAGAGGGTCTTCCCTGGGAGAGCGGACGCACTGGAGGCGACAAACTCGAGTGGGTGCCGAGGCGGGACTTCTGCTCCGCTGGGGGGGCCTGGGAGGGCCACCAAGCGGAGTTGGAAACTTTTACGCCACGTGGTTCCACACGCGTGGCCGAGTGACCTCGCGCCAGAACGCACCCCGGGCCTTCCCGCTGTCGAGTGGGGGCTCTGGGGAGTGACCAGCGGGCGGCCAGAGCGCGGCCAAGCGGCCGGAGCCGAACTTGAACCTCCGCGAGGGGCGGGGCTGGAGGGCCGGACGGCCCACCCAGGGACCCGTTAGACCCGGCGAACCGCAGGCCCTGCCAAGGCCGCTTCCTTTATTCTGGGGGAGGGGGCCTTCCCTTGTTTCCCCACCGCTGCCCTGACTTCCGCTGCAGTGTAGCTCTTGCTCATGAAAAGTTGTGTTAAAGAGCTGACTGCAGCCCAGACTCTGTGGGTCAAATATCAGTGCGTTTCTCAGGGCACTGCGGTAGACCTGTATAGATCAGGAAGACCCTGACCGCCCTTTTACCAGGCTCAGAGATAACCCACTTCACCGTGCCCAGGCACATAAACATCTTAACATCAAACCTCCCGGCAGTAGCCCACACTTGGGGAGGAAGGAAAGGGGGCAAAGAACTGAAAAGTATTCGTGGCTCATTGTTGGCCAAGCTCTGACGGAATCGACTGAGTGGCAATGGGTTTGGTTTTTTGGTATGGGTCAGTCACCGCCGTGCTGGACGCTTTGTACAGGCTTTCTCCTTAGAATCCCAATCTATACGTTTTCTTAGTACTGGAAGGAGGTGGCAGGGAAAACAGAACGTGTATTACACCCTGATATACACAAGATTAATTCATCTATTTCTTCATGTAACCAATATTAGTGCCTGTTATGTGCTCTGGTGGCGTAGTGCCTAAGGCACTTGACTGCTAACCAGAAGGCTGGCGGTTCAAACCCACCAGCCACTCCTCGGAAGGAAGATGGGGCCATCTACTTCCGTAGTGATACTGCCTCGGAAACCCAAGGAGGGGTTGCTATGAGTCGGGTCTGACTCGATGGCACATAACAACAACAATGTGCCAAGCACAGTTCTCAGTGCTGGGGATGCAACGATGCCCCAAACCGAGGTTCTCCCCCTTGGATCTTAGGTTACAGCTGGCATGCCTCATTCATCTTGCTCTTACTGATAATAACTGAATAACTGAATGATATTTTATTCCCTGGTTTTTAGTCCTACTCCTCCAGCGTCCCCACCTCTGGATTCCCAGGACTAGATCTTTATTATCTTGGGTAGAAAGGAGAGGCTACGTGTAAGGGCAGAGGCGAGCACCCACTGGACTGTAAAGAAGAGAGCGAGCTTTATCCCTGTCCAGGGAACAAGTCGTTTGACCTGAGGCAACACTCTTCAACGATTAATTTTCTCATCTATGAAGCAAAGAGTTTCAACTCAATGTTCAAAGAGTTCCCTCTCAGGTCTGCCACTGGCCTCCTCAAAAGATGACATCTTTTAAAGTACATTGTGTGCTTTATTCCTTTTGAATGATGACTGGTATATGGGATCTGAGTCCATTTATTAGGAACACGGTGCCACCTTCCAGAATTACCAAGTTAAAATGGTTGAGCCTGCTGCTCTTGAAGCAATTAGCTAAAACAGTACTTGTGCAAGAGGTGGACCTGTAGTACTGTCTAGGATGCTGTGCAGTAGCTGCTTCAGTCCACACTGATATCAAACCCGTACCTACCAAACCATCAAGTTCTTTGTGATTTGAAGCAAGGATCTAGGCTCATTTTCACAGTTCGTTAGAAATAGGAGCCCCAGTGGTTAAAGCACTTAGCTGCTAACCAAAAGTATGGCAGTTTGAACCCACCAGCCGCTCAGTGGGACAAAGATGAGCGGCTTGCATCTGTAAAGATTACAGCCTTGGAAGCCCTGTGGGACAGTTCTATTCTGTCCTATAGGATCATTATGAGTTGGCATCAACTTGAGGGCAGTGAGTTTGTTTTTGGTTTGATTAGAGATGTCTTAGTTGTCTTAGATGGTGGAAAGATTCAAGGAAAGCTAGGAGTTAACCTTGCAATTACCATTACTTTTCAACAACTTTGGGAGTTGAGTTGAAGAAGGTGTGAAATTGGCAGATACAATAAAAGGTGTTATATTAGTGACTTTCTAGAGTAGCCCGTGGCAGTCCTGTCTTTAAAAAGTAATATCTGGTAGGAAAAAAAAAAAAGGATAGTAATACACTGCATCCAAGAACCTTGCCTCTGGCAAGAGTAATTTGCAAATGCATTTTGGGATAATATTTAAATGAGTTTTTTCAGGGTCCGAGTGATAGGCTCACTGGAATTGGTAATGCCTTTTGGGTCAGGGTTTCAGTTTTCTTCCATAAGGGAATTAAAATTGTTTGTGGATTATACTGTCCGTATTTGCAAGGCCTTTCTTCCACAGCAACACTAGGGGAGCTTGAACCTCCAACCTTTTCGTCAGTCGTCACCAAAACCCTAAATGCCACCCAGAGACCTTCATTTATTTCTAGTTCTCCATATTGTCTATGTTTTAATGGCTAATGATTAATAACTACCATATAATAAGCTAAGTATTTACTATATGCCAGGTATGTGCATTAAAATAATACTTAATTCTCATGAGCTTTGAATAAGATTTTATTATACTCATTTTATAATTGAGTACACTGAGGCTTAAGAAGGTTTGGCATCCCATCCTAGGTGGCAGAGCTGTTAAGTGGTAAGCTGAATTTGATCTGAGTGGCTCCAAACCCTGTGCTCTTACGGCCACTCTGAAATGCATAACTCAGAATGAATCCATAAGAAATCACATGCCGTGTGTAAGTACAACCACTTTGGAAAATGGTTTCACAATGTCTACCAAAGCTGCACACAGGAAAACTATGGCCCAGCCCATGTCAGTTGTACACCAAAATATGTACATCAAACCAGCCAGAGCAACACTCTTCGTAATGGCCCCCAAACTGAAAGAACCCAAGTGTTCATCCACAGTAGGATGGATAAAGAAATGGGGGTAGAGTCATACCATGAAACATTCCACAGCACTGCAAGGAACAGTCTGCTTCCAAATGCAGTAATATATACGTATCTCACAAACAACGTGAAAGAAAAGTGCAGGTGTACATATCATAGGACTCCATTTATATAGAGGACAGAAGCAGACAA